GGTAAGTTTGAGAACATTGTTGTAAACTGTTGTTTATGTAAATAATACGTCTTCTTGCGTTGTAGCAAAGTGCCATACAATTCATGGAAATGAGAAAGATAGCGTGATATTGTATTTCATATTTTTCCAAAGGACAACTTGCTTTTGCCGAAAAAATGGATACATGTGTTAGGGACAGGATTCTATTAATGTGAAGAAGCAAGAATTTGCAGTAAACATTTCCTATGCAGTGACTGTGAAGATGAGATGAATAATCGCTTGTCTGGATTGCCATAAAAGAAACTGTTAAAATCCAATTATATGCCAAGAAAAGAAGAATAATGCAGAGTGCTTTTTGAAAGACTACACAAATTAAATTTGAAGAAAATTAATTTTGATGCCGATTACGAAAACGATGATAGGAGTAATAAATCAAATACAAATGATTTTAAAATAGAATTCACAAATGATTGTGTAAATATTGCCGAATGCTCTAACTGTATAAATAAACAAGAATACATTGATAATATGTAAAAAACAAAGCTAGCTCAGCATTTTAGCTAATGTGTGATCATATAAAACATCAAAGTAATTTCGCATAAAAAGATCTTCCTCCTTTGCCCCTCATTTGAAAGATTAATTAATTTTCTTTAGGTAGTATGAGAAAAGTTGTTTTGTCAAACTTAAGACAACGATTTTATATTTATTTAAACGTAATGTAATGTATGTGTATAAGTGTAAGTTAAACAATTATTTTTACTATGCCTGTTATTATTATATCAAATTGGAAGAGAAACATGTCACTGTAAAATTTATAATTAGGTCAAAAAAAGCAATCTTAGATCAGATTAAATTTTGAATAAAATTATTGATTTTAGGGGCAGTCAAACATAAGTTCCTCTTCTTTAGTTGCAGGGGGGAAAATGACATGAATATTTAAAGCTATGTCAAGCTTCTTTTTTTTCCCCTAGCTTTAGAAGGCTGTTATTATAGTTACTTTAGAAAGAGTAACAGAATTCTCCCATTTAATATGCAGATGAAAAAAAGATAAATGAATGCCATATTTTTTCCCATGATTTAATAATAAATGCATAGGGGGAAACATGCAAACAACAAAAATCAGCATTATATTTTCAAAATTTTCACAGGACTAGTTTTGATGGTTTTACTGAACCACCATCCTCAGCTGCAAAACCGCAAATGAACAAGATAGGAAATAATGATTAGATAAGATAAGAAAGCCTGGACAAGAATAAGCAAGTGGCGCATAAGCAAGAGAATACAGAATAAGCAAGAGCTACAATGTGCGAAATTCATTCTAATCTGGATATTATCATTTCCAAGGCCGACAAAGGTGGCCAGATAGTCGTCATGGATAAGAACACTTACATCGATGGTGTCACTAAATTCTTGAACGAAGGACCATATAATCCGATCCCTAAAGATCCTTCACCTTCGGACCTGTCAAAAATAAAAACTGCGATCAAATCTTCACAAATCATTTCAAGCAACTTAAAGCATTTGCTTATCCCATCTGTTGCAAATTGTGCCAGATTATATGCTCTTCCCAAAATTCATAAAAGTGGTATTCCTTTCCTCCCTATTGTATCAAATTTAGGTACTGCCTCATATCCATTAGCTAAATATTTAGTTTCTAGATTTTTAACTCTATTAGATAATAACATTTACACCATAAAAAACTCAATAGAGTTTGTAAAAAAGGTTAAAAACATTTCTCCTAGAAATTTACTTGTGGTTTCTTTTAATGTAAAATCATTATTCACCAATGTTCCAGTGGAACTTGCATTAAGATGTCTAGAAACCAGACTTTGCGAATTTCATTTCTCTTGCATCGAAATTGATGTCACTCAACTCTGTTTGAAACAAACACATTTTGTTTTCCAAAATAAATATTACAAGCAAACTGAGGGATTAGCCATGAAAAGCCCCCTCAGTCCAATCCTGACTGATATCTACATGCATTATTATGAATCAAAATTGTTTGAAACTTTAAAACTTCCCGGTATGGTTCCGCCACGTACACGATACTTTTACCCTGTTTGAAAGTAATAATGATGATTTAAATAAAGTTCTTTCAACAATGAATTCTATTGATCCTGCTATTCAGTTCACTTTTGAACTTGAGACTTGCAATTCTCTTCCGTTTCTCGGCATTCTAGTCACACGTAACACATCCAACTTCAGTACTACAGTTTACTGTAAACCATCATCAGTTTGCCTTCCACCACACTTTAAATCATGTCAAATTTTGTTTAAATCGACTAAACAAAAGTTAGCTTCATTTTATTCCTATGTTTTCCGTGCTCTTCAAGTTTGCTCCTTCAAACTATCCCTTGATGAAGAACTAAGTTATTTAAAAGCAATAGCTATTGACAGGGACTTTTCACCCAACATTATTAATCAAGCAGTTGAAAAATTCTCATCTCAACACACTAAAAGGCACACTCTTGTTTTAGGAGATTATAAAAATTCTGTTGTCATTCCCTTCTCTCTATCAATTAGCTATAAAGTTGCACATATTTTGCAGAAATTTAACTTTCGGGTCGTTTATTCTCCCATCAATAAAATTCCGCGTTCCATACTCAAAGAGCCCATTCCGGATATGAATTCAGGGAGTATTTATAGGATTCTTTGCGAGTGTGGTTTAATTTGGCCAAACTAAGAGAGCCTTAAAATTTCGTGTAAAGGAACATAAGGCATATGTTAGAAAAAAGGAAACACAGAATTCTTCTGTTGCTTAACATTGTTGGTCCGAAAATCACACTTTCAATTTTTCTGCTGCCAAAATTATTCAAAAGAAAATCTTCCATTGGAGAACTGGATTTTCTAGAGGCATTTCACATTCAAAAAAATCTTTCTGTTCTAGTTAACGATCCTAATTCCAATCCATCTTTGCCTTCGGTCTTTAAAGAAATTATGTTTTAGTTCTGGTTTCACCAACAGATGGCACCACTTGCTTATTCTTGTCCAGGCTTTCTTATCTTATCTAATCATTATTTTCTATCTTGTTCATTTGCGGTTTTGCAGCTGAGGATGGTGGTTCGGTAAAACCATCGAAACTAGTCCTGTGAAAATTTTGAAAATATAACGCTGATTTTTGTTGTTTGACTTCTGAATTAATATTTGTTCGGTGTGTTATTGTGTTTTAATTAATAAATAAGTATTGTTAACTTTTTAAATGTTATAAATGCTTACAGTAATAACATCTTCTCTTCTAAATTGAAGTTATTTTTTCACACAGAGTTTTTTTTAAAGCTGTTTCTTCAAATTTAAAATGTTTATTTATTTATTTATTTATTCACTCAGTGTCAACAGGACTGCGTCATTGCTCCTCACTTCCTGTTTCAGGGGGAAAAGCTCTATGAATTAGCTCTTGTCTTTCTACATCCTAGTATCAGATAGGAGGTGGATAAAATACTTTCTGTCACAAAAGTAAAGATTATAAGATCTTTTCATTTGTCTTTTTTTATAAACAGGCAATTTTTGTTTCTTGTGCACTTTTTAAGTTGTTGTTGTGTATTTTTTTTTTTTTTTTTAATTTTGGCACATTTACATAAAAAAAATTTTATTTTCTCTGTTCTTTTTATTTTTTTTATTTTTTAATGTTAACATGTTTTCTGACGTTTCAGATATGTTGTAGCACTGATAGCCAATTATGAAAATTGATGGCAAAACATTTAATTGATAAATGACAGGAGAAAATGAATGCAACAAGAATAAAAACTTAGCCATAAAACAGAAAAAGTCTGTTTTATGGCTAAGTCAAGCCATAAAACAAACTTTATGGCAAGTCAAGCCATAAAACAAAGCCAGTTATCTGCCAAGTTGGTTTATCAAAACATATATATATTATCAATTAAATATAAACCAATATTTTTACATTAGTGATTTTGATATGTACGCTATGCTATGTATCTTACTATTATTTTGGCATAAATAATTATTTTAATGTTCATGACTTTTATCAATAACAAAATATAGAGAATTAAGATGTAGATACAAAAAGCAGAAAATTAGAGGGGAAAAGAAGATAAATATGAGAGATTTGGTCATCTTAGATATGTCTAACAAACATGAGTCAATTTACAAATAGACCATGAAAATGAATATAAATGTCTTGCATTAAGAAAAATTAAAAATAATGCAGAAATATGCTCCATGATCCACAATTCAATTAAAGAATGCCACATACAAGTATTTATGTAACAAAACCTGTACCAAGGAAGACGAACATAATTTACTATATTTTAATATTAAAAAAAAAGTATAAATTTCCCTTCATTGCAAAACAAAGAAAATTCATAGACTATTCTTCTAACATCAGTATATAATTAGAACTGATCAACTAATACTATTTTTCAGTTAACTTACACCTTTAGAAAGAACTTTACTAAATAAGAGTGCACAAAATAATGATTTAAAATGGGAAAGATTTTTATTTAGACATTTCTTAATTACTTAAAATATACCAATATTATTATAAATTTCAGTTCTTATTTACAGATAAAGCAGACACAAGGAGGATAAAATCTTATTTTTATGAATATATTTATTTAACTTTTCTTCCCTTTTTTCTCACTAATTTTACTGTTTTAGAAATCCAGAACGGAATTTATACAGTGCATATTATTTCTGATATAGAGGCAAAATTAAATTCAATAAAAATCATAAAATCAAATAAGAATAGATGTACTAATAAGACTGTATTCTGTACTTCAAAGAAGTCAGTTATAGATAGATATTAATTTCATTCATACTCTTTCTTACTTACACAACATCTTTTTCTAATTTTGCATACATTTTTATAGTGTTAACATAAATAAGAAGTTTCTAAATTATATGCTAAAAAGTGGGAAAGAAGTAAAATATGTAAGTAAATATAATATTTATAAAATAAAAAATTAAATACAATTCCTTTTGTGAATAATGATTAAAAGTAAAGCTCAAGTTTTCATACAATTTTCTTCATTAGCAGAATAAAAGATGAAAACATTACTAACGTTTTACATAAATCAGACAAGTCACTGTAAAGTGTAGTTGATCTCAGATTGGATCCTCCTTCAGCCTCTCCTCTGGGTGGATCTCTGACATACAGTAATGTAAGGACAACTGAAAGCAGTCCTAATCCTGGAGTAATCTGGAGGATGGTGGAAATTAATATTCAACAATTTTATTAACTTAGAAAAGAAATAATATATTTTTTACATCTGAAATGTTTAAAGTAAATTTATCTTAAACAGCTACAAAAATATCAAAGCCTGCACTTTTTTTTTTTTTTTTGAAAGAGGGCAATATGAAAATTAAATTTTTGGTTGATGTTTAGAGAATTTAAAAAATCAATCTGATCCTTTTTTATACTTAAATAACATTTCACTGGATCTACTATATGATTTCTTATAATTCTTCAGACTTTCAATTGAGCATTTGCACACATTAATTTCAATATCAAGCAACTGCCTTATTTTTATTTATTATATTTTTATAAAATACTATTAAAAATGTTATGAATACAAATACTACAATTACCCATCACCGTTTTAACGGTCAGTTTCTGTTATTCATAAGATCAGCTCTATTATTCATTTAGACATCTTGATGGACAAAATCCCTCGGGAAGCAAGGAATAAAAATAAATACCAAGGATGTGTTTTAATTTTAAACAGGTTATATTGTATTCTAAGTATGATGACAGATCAACCAAGTATGGTTGATCTGTCATCATACTTAGAATAAAAGACTTAAATATTGTCTTTAGAAATATGGTATTGTACTGTTAAATAAAATTATACAGATGACCTTCTATTAGAAACTTCAAAGAAAATTCCATAATTATAGTATATCATCTCTTTACAAATAACTTATCAGGCAGTCTGGGAGCCAATACATGAAATTTCAACAGAAAATTTTCTCTATATATAACAGTAAAAAAGAAAATTGAGCTAAAGTAGTAAAAGTTAGCCATATTAAAGATATTTGATATTTATCACTTAGAAGCTATTTGGGACTCATTATAAATATTATATTTTTATTTCACATAATAATAAGCAAATTAATGTGACCAGTATTAATTTCTGATCTGATTTTAATCCAAAATATAAAATGCACAATGCTAAATATAAAATCTTTGCTACCAGTTGTCCATGTCTGGTGGTAGTGATGAGACAGTTTCTATTATCCATTTATTCTCTTGTCTATAACAATGACAAGTACTAAGGCATATAGATAATCAATTTCTACTATACATTAGGTCTAGACCCAAATTCTCCTTCTCTCTCTCTCTCTATCATTCAGCCCACTAATATATAAGTGATTAGAATCATGAAATACTGGTAGTTTGTTCTAGATTTTGTTCCTGGCAGTTAAATGAAGAGGATGCATGGTTTCTTTCTGTGGTGCAAATAAGGGCAGTATCCTTCTAAATCCTTCATGAAAACAACTCATCCTACAGGCAGGTAAATCTGGCATGCTTTATAGCAATTAAATAATCTAGTCTTTACGTAAAATAATTAGTGTCTGACTGTTTCAGACATCTCACTGCCATCAAAACTTAATTCAAATTTTCTAAATATATACACAGGTAAATAAACAATCACTGGTATATTTATAATTAAAGAGAAAAGAAGTAGTCACTGAGATAAGAAGAAAGTAGTACTAAAAGTAATAAATTAGTGCAAAATGCTGCTAAATTTTATTTGAAGTAATGTTTGATCTAACTCATCAGCAAGAAGACATGAATTCTACGAAGTAAATTAATATATGAACTACATTAAAGCAAAAACTAAGATACTAAGACAGTGATCTGAATGAAGAAATTAATAAATAAGAAAGAAATTTAGCACATCAAAATTGAGAACTTAAACTTCTGTTATCAATGAATGAAAATTATGAGAAACTGCTTCAACAGTTATAGATAAACTATAACAGTTATTTAAAATAGCAATAAATTCAAATTTCCTAAGCTCACCAGAACCTGAGTGCCACCATTACATACAGGTAGCTTAACCCAAGTTTAAATACAGGCAGCATAGCTTAGTTAGCAATGTGTGTTTCGTAGGTTTTTCAATCAGTAGTAATACAAGAAAATTTCCTTAACAGGGCTCCGCAAGATATCCTCTCTACCCTTAGAAAGATAGCTCTTGTGTGATTTTCATTATTAAAAACTAAATAAATAATCAAGTTTCCTAGTTCAAAAGTATAACTTTGCCATTGCTGGATCATTCTCCTTTCCTTTTCCCAACTTGAGAAAGTATAAAATGGCCTTTGGCTGAAAAACCCATGTGCTAGACCAATTTAAGGTTACGTGGAATTTCTCTATTCATTTACAATCTGGCAAATTTTGAACATGTTTAATTTCAGTTCTCAGCATGTCACAGTCAAAGACCTAAGGAAGGTGACCAAACATAAAAAAATCAATGGTTTAGTCAACTATAAACTACAATTGTCCTAGAGCTCCTTCCAGTGCTTATATGACTTTAAATCTTCAGGATAATCACAATGCAAGTGGAAAAGAAGGAGAGAGTATTCTTTAAAATGTTTAACAGAATATGAAACCTTACAACTTATTATTCACACAAAATGGGCTACTTTATAATTAAAATATAACTGGAATGGACTAAATCAGATAATTTAATTTTAGTCAAAAATAAAAGGAGGCTGCCTGTCTGAATTCCATTTATATTTTGGCTGAAATTACATCAAGAAATGCAATCTAAAGTTTCCATACCTCACCTTCTTAGATAACATTTATATATAGTTAGTCTCCACCCCAATTATGTTTCTTTCCAGGAGAGTGGAAGAAATTTGAAAAAATTTATAATGCTGCAACCATGATGAGAAAAAATTTATTAATAAAAACTTTAAATTTTAAAAATAAATGTTTTATTACTTCTGCAATAAAATGCAAAGGAATTAAGCAACTCTTCCTAAAAATTCAGTGAAAAGTGTGATAGAATTCTTGTGCATTTTACAGTATTGATGATGTAGGGTCACTTTCTTTAATAATTAATTTTATTTTCTCTTTTTTTTATGAATAAACATGTTAAGTTTTTATTTTTATTGCTGTTAGGAACCAAAACTGTTTCAAAACCTATTCAAACTCTGAAAGCAAATCTCATAGCAAGTATAAACACATACATTCTTATATGCATATATACATAACACATACATAAGAAAGTTACAGCAGGCATACAAATGGAGTTAAATATATATACTGAAAACATTCATAATGAGTAATTCATTCTTAGTAATATGGTACTGTTGTACATGAATAAAATATTGTTGCATGCATACAGGTTTATGATGGACTGAATCGAAACACAACCGATGTGTTAAAATTTATTTTACCAAAAGAAACACCTTACAGTTCAGAAACTTTTCTAACTTTTTTCCTTTTCCTTTAGTACCTGGTACTTCTCAAAATTACTGAAAGGAATACATGATTACGGATACAGTTACAAATAAGGATCAATTACAGTACCAATTATAGTTATACAGGGACTGCACCAATGCCAATTTTGGTGATGTTTGGTGATAGTCCTGTAATCTTATTTTTCCAGCACAGCTTTGTCTCTTCAGACTTTTCATGTTATATTATACAAAAGATACTAGAACTTTGCATGTAATTTCACTAAAATTATTTACATACATATTAAATCCATAACAATATTAATATATTACTATTAAATAAGTAAAAATATTCAATTTCTTCCAAATGATTTTCTCTGTCATAGAAGAAACTAGTTAAACTTACTGCGAATACACCTTTCTAAGAACTTCCTAAGATTAAGTACCTGATGGTATTTGCAGTATATAAAATCTTGTATGGTAAAAAGGATTGTGTGTGTGCCAAAATTTCACATAAGATGTATAATAAAATTGAGATTAAAGTTCAATAGAATAAGACGAAATTTTCTCTTCTTTGAATTAATACATTCATTATCATTCATATCAAATAGTTTCAAATTTTTAACACTATTTTCATTATGGTGTAGATTCAATTTTGTAATTTACTTTACTTTTTTATTTCAGCTTTGTTTTCTATTCTTCTTAAACTATTTTGCTAAATTTGTTACTGAGATGAACAGAAATTCAGTTTCAGAATCTGACTAAATTTACAGATGTGGAAAAAATCTTATAAGCAAATACAAAAAAAAAATACAAACATATATATTTAATTAACATACTAAACATATAATAAATAATAGGTTAAACAGAGACAAACAGATAATAAAAACATATAGGATATATATTGATTATAAACATATATAAACATTAGACAAACATATAATTTAAACATTAATATAATATTGTAAACATATATTATATAAATATTAATTTAAACATTATACAAACATATAATTTAAACATATATATCTAAATTAAATTTATGGCAAGCATAAAAAATGAGGCTTCTTAAATTATAGACAAACAGAAGAAAGTTAGATTAGTAAGATAAATATTAATATATTGTTCTGGATTTTGTATATATGTAAATAATTTTAGCAAAAATATAGGTGAAATTTTAGCATCTTTTTCATAATGTAACATGAAAAGTCTCAAGAGATCAAAGCTTTGCCAGAAAATTAAGACTACAGGAGAAAGTCTATTTAATATTACGGTAAATGGCTATCTCGCTAAATTAGTGAGATATTGCCAATATGTTTTTCGCAACTAATTTTCGTGCCAAATTTGGCAAGAAATCACCAAAAGTGGCCAAACTTGAGAATCATTTGGAGAAAGTTTTGACCTGTCACTGTATAAACTCTAATTGGTACTGTAACTGAATAACTGTAATAGATCCCTATAATTAGCTGTAACCATATATGGCCCTTATATGTAACTTTAATCTTATATGCCTTCTAGTAATTTCGAGAAACGGAAGATACTAGATATTTCTCAGCCATTGAAAAACTATATAAGACCAGAAAGAGCATCAGCTCTCAGTTGTTAATTCAGAGCTGCTTTCAGAGTGTTGAGATCTCCATGAAAGCTTTGCCTTTTAGATGGACTTCCCATTCAGCTGTATTTAACATTCTTACATGAATAAAATATTGTTGCATGCATACAGGTTTATGCATGCATTGCTTGAAGTGTAACTATTGATTGTACTCTGCAATACGGAGAAAAGCTGTACCAGTG